GACTGGACCTGAACCACTGGACCAGCTGTCCTCCCGGTGTAACAGGACTGGACCTGAACCACTGGACCAGCTGTCCCCCTGCAGTCCCTGACTGTGCCCTGTCTGACCCGCCAGGTGTCCGGCTGCAGCAGCAGGTGATCCGTGTCCAGCCGGACAACGTGACGGTGCGAGCCGGGGAGAGGGCGGTGGTGCTCTGCGAGGTGGCCGGGCCCGCGGGGGCCGTGCAGTGGGTGAAGGACGGGCTCCTGCTGGGACCCAATCGCAGCCTCCCGGGGTTCCCCCGCTACAGCATGACTGGCGACCCGAGGAGGGGTGAGTATTCACAGTGACAGTGCTGTCTCGCTCATGGGGATGCAGAGGAATGAACAACTGAACTTGGCAGCTGTTTCCTCCACCAGCCATCCTCTTAGTCTTATGAGAAAGGACCTGAACCACTGGACCAGCTGTCCTCCTGGTCTAACAGGTCTGGACCTGAACCACTGGACCAGCTGTCCTCCTGGTCTAACAGGACTGGACCTGAACCACTGGGCCAGCTGTCCTCCTGGTCTAACAGGACTGGACCTGAACCACTGGGCCAGCTGTCCTCCCGGTCTAACAGGACTGGACCTGAACCACTGGTCATCTGGTCTCTTTCATACAATGCAATCGATAAACAAATCTGAAACCGTATAAACTGTACTCTGTCGTCCTCCCTGCCTTACAGGACAGTACCACCTGCAGATCGGGCAGGCGTCTCTGGAAGACGACTCCCCCTACGAGTGCCAAGTGGGCCGGACTGAGAGCAGCGGCCCCATCGTCTCCCACACTGTGTGGGTCACAGTGCTGAGTGAGTCCAACCAACCGTCTCGTCCCCTGGGGGGCGGGAGGGGAGAGAACGATATTGTTAACACCTCAGTCTGCAGAACTCCAAATCAATGATGCAGAGGCCTTGCAGCATTGATCTCCCAGCTCAGAATTGTCCCTGCTCTGGTCATTTTTAACCCAGGTCAGCACATGTTGCAGTAGATCCCCTCTCTTTTCAACCACCCCCCTCCACAGAGTCCCTGGGACTGTCCAGCTTCCCTGCAGTGTTTCTCCCTCCTTTCTGAGCACCTGCATCAGGCTCTACACAATGGCTGCTACTGTTGCTGCCATGTTGGAAACAGCCGTGTGTTTTCCTGAAGGCTCCCCATCTCCCTGGCTCGCTTCTCTCTTTCCCCCTCTCCTCCATCTCTTTATCTTCCCCCTTCATCTGCTCCCTCCCTCTCCACCCTCCCCAGCGGTGGGAGAGAGGCCACCTGTGTCTGAGCGGCTGGGAGGCAGCAGGCCAGCCCCAGCCCGAGCGTGACCAGTCCCCTTTCTGTCTCCGGACTGGGAACTCTCCTGCTCCTTCCTGGCGCCTGGGGTTGCCGTGGAGACCAGGCTAGCCCCCCCGCTGGGAGCCTGGGAACGGAGCAGGTTTTCCTGACGTCCCCGGAGCGGGAGGGAGGAAGAGGAGGGGGGGCGAGGCCTCAGGCCCGCGGAGCACCTGTAGCGTCAGCAGGCGGGTTCCCACGTGCCCCAGCAGGGCCGTCCCGGCACGGGTCTGTGTGGGAGAGGGGCGGCGGCCTGCGGCGGCGTGTGCGTGCGGGACACACGCTCTCACACCGCTCCTGCCACTCCCCTGACCAGAGCTGCAGCAATACACTTAGTGTGGTAAAAGCACAGTGCAGACCAGTAAAGCCCAGTGAGATCAGGGTAACAGCACAGTACAGAGCAGTAAAGCCCAGTGAGATCAGGGTAAAAGCACAGTGCTGACCAGTAAAGCCCAGTGAGATCAGGGTAAAAGCACAGTACAGAGCAGTAAAGCCCAGTGAGTTCAGGGTGAATGCTCTCTTTAGCATGCCTACCAATTGACTACACTGGTTTATTATTGGTAAAAGACCATGGGAATGGTTAAAAGCAGCAGGGAACAATTGGTCTGTCTATCCTGTCTGTCTGTCAGTAGTTCACTGATCCCAGGATCTCTCCCAGCTGCACAGCGATTGGCTTCAGCCACAGGGTTGTTCTCGCAGCGCTGGTGGAAAGAGGGGCCTGCTGGTCTCAGTCCCGTGACTGAGCTCGTTTAATCCTGCCAGACTCAGCTCCAGTCTGGAAAACTGGGCCACATCCCATGGCTTTGTTACTCGGATAATAACTTCCTTAATACAGTGCCTTTTATTTTAGCACCAAAGTGCCTTTCATATAGGTGGGGAGATCAGTTCACCCCCTGCAGAAGTGCAGCCCCACCTGGGTGAGACAGCGGCCCCACTGCACACAGATCAGGGGGAGGAGACCAACTGCAGCACCAGGTAGATTAAACAGGATCATTTCTGAGGCCACTCTGTACAGTTTACAGTGGAATTGAACCAGCACACTGGATTTAACCACTGGGACACAGGACAGTGTCTCGTTCACCATCCTGGGACACTGGTTTGGACATTCTGTTGAGGAGTTAGAGCACCACCTACAGGTGCAATCAGCAATCTGGTCACGCAGAGCAGTACTGGCCAAGCCCAGCCCTGCTGAGTTTCTGAAGTCTGATGAGAGCAGGCTATCAGGCTGTAACACTGCTGTCCTGTTGCTTTTCCACATTTACCATTCAGAATTGGAATAAGAGTGTAAGAGTGGTTTACACAGCTCCTGCAAAAAACTCTTTCTGCAAAAGCAAAGTGATCCCAAAGACACCAACTGCCCTGAGCCACACCAGCTGCTCGGGAGCTCCACCTAGTGGCCATCGAGAGGAAGTGAGGGCAGCGGTGCACAGGTTCCATTAGTGAACTTGCTCCTGCTGCGTTGAGCTGTTGGCTGTTTTATTTAAAGGCCCGAGTTTGTTTCTGTCGCCACGGCAGGCTGGCTGCTCTGTCTGGTCGGGGAGGCAGAGGAGCTGAGCTCTGGGGGGATGGTAACGAGGCCAGCCAGCGAGCCCAGGGACACTGCCGTCTCTCTCCTCCTCAGACACCTGCTCACCTCCCCCTCTCCGAGGCCCAGCGGAGCGGAGATGAGAGGGGAAGAGCTGGCGCTCTGCAGACATCACCGTGGGCCCGACTGAGCCCACCTGAGCCCTGCTGTGTGTGTGTGTGTGTGTGTGTGTGTGTGTGTATGTGTATGTGTGCGCGTGCGTGTGTGTGTGTGTGCTGTCTGTCCTCTGCCCGAGCCGTCTGTCCATCTGTCTTGCTGCTGCTCTGCCTGGTCTGTGTCTGTGTGCCTGCATGTGAAAAAGACAGAGCACATAACTGCGCTGTATTGCTCTCTGTGTGTGTATGTGTGTGTGTGTGAGAGAGAGATGCAGGAGGCTCAGGTGCAGCTCAGCCACTCCTCACCTATCGCAGGGAGAGCGCACACTCACACACACACAGACATACACGGACATGCGGAGAGTGAAAGGGCTGCAGTTAAAGGACCCGCAGTCTCCTTGCCGAATGTCTTGCTGTTCGGAAACTGCCGTCTCTCGGAGATCGGGGAGTGCTGAGGCAGAGGAAGGCACAGCTGATGAAGGGTGGCTGCAGAGTCCCGAGACAGATCCCACTGTGACCAGAAATCCACACCAGCAGTGTCCCTCTCAGTGAGAGCAGCACGGAGGAATGAGGTGAAATCACAGCTGAGGCTGATACAGCAGTGTGACAGGCTTGTACAGGGCTAGTTTCCTGTCTTTTAAAAATGACCACTGCCCTTCACTTGATTTGTTCTTAAAACTAAAGAATGGTGTTAAAGTGAAAACCACAGTGATATATTACAGTACTAGTAGGCTACTTTAGGACAGATATAATATGTGATGTGACACAACACCACGCACAGTGAGGAAGAGACACAATCACAGCAGGTCCCAGTATAGTTTGGACCTTGTGGAATATAGAGAACCTGGTACAGATGCCTTTGTAGATGCACTGGTGCAGAGTATCTGTGGGCACAAGGGGACACTTCCATCTGCTGGAGGCTACGTATTGACTATATTGTAATGCTGGGTGTCACTGTCAAGAGCAAAAAGACATTTCCCTGTTGGTAGGTTCATAGGGAGAGATAACTTTAGCTGATGGAGGCTTAGAAAATAATAGTCTCACAATTTCTACTGGCCACATGGCATATATACTCCAAAGCAAAAAGTGTTCTAGATATCTCGTGCATCATTTTTTAAGGCTCACCTGATTGGACAGGACACATCTTGTAGTCCAGAACAGCTGATTTGTTTCCTGCAGATCATGCTTAAAGACAGTGTCACTGCCGATCAGTCACTGCGCAGAAGACAGAATGCCTGTGTCCTCTAGTACTCTTCAGTCCTTCACCGCCCTCTGGTGGTGAAGTAGGAGCATCACACCCCAATTCTTTGTTTTATATAGGGCCTTTAAAAAGTGTAAAATCTCCTTGGGACTACAATTCCAGAGCTTTGGGATGTAGCAAGAGAACCTTATGGGGCGGAAGGGAGTGTCCTAGACTGGCCGGCTGAAGAAACTGAAAACTTTTAGTCTTGAACAGAGAAGAATATAATGAAACCTAAATCAGGTATTCACAACTCTCAAGGACACTGACCACGTCAGCGCAGTGGAAGTCTTCAGTACCAACAGTGCAACATGACCCAGAGGACTCAACTGGGAAATACAAGGAGATCCATGCAGAACTGAGTACAGCAGGCAGGTCTTTACCCAGAGGGTTGTAGGGGTGTGGAACAAGCCACCCCGCTGTGCTGTACAAAGCTCACAACCCTGCCTTCTTTCACCAAACAGCGGATGAGATCCTGGGATCATTCATGGAACGAATGGGCTGGGTGGGTCGAATGCCCCATCTTGTTTGTAACTGTTGTTCTGCTCTTAGAGGCTGATGGTGGCACCTCTCTCCATTGTGCCCCTAGTTCCCCCGGCGCAGCTTGTCATCAGCGAGGCCACGGCTCTCCTGGACGTGCCCTGGGTGGCAGGGGAAGAGTACACTGTGACCTGCCGGGCGTCTGACGCCAAGCCCGCCGTCGAAATCGCCTTCATCAAAAGTAGGGACCCGGGGTGGGGAAGAATTGGGGTGGAATGGGATGGGGGTGTAGCTAATGGGCCTGTGGCCACTGGGGACCAGGTTCACACGGTGGTTAGAACTCCCCACCCCTGATCAGAGGGTTGCAAGTTCAAACCCCAAGTAGGTGGCACAGTTGCGTGGCCAAGTTTATCGTACTTTTCCCAGATTACATCAGGAAGTGACATGGCACATATTATTTAGGGGTAAATAAATGTGTGCAGAAAAGTAGGTAAAAATATGTGCCCATTCCAAACCCAGGGATAGAAGTCTTTAGTTATGCTGTTTGTCATTAAGCTGATGGAGAGCAGGAAAGCCCAGCAGTCTTGGTACAGGAGTGAGATTGCAGCCTGGAGACTGGTGGACAGCACCCCTGCATGTATCTGCTCCTGCACAGCTCTCTCCCTCCTCTCTCGACAGGTGGGGTCGAGCAGCTTCTGACTGAGTCGAGCTCCACGCCTGGGTCTCAGGACAAGCTGTCCGACACAGAGGCTGTCGTTAAGTGAGTGCAGTATCTAGCTGGGGAGCAGTGAAACATATGACCTTGAATATCAGACAGAACTGCAGGGGTCTCTGTCCCTGGTGCTGGAGGGCTGTTCTGTCAGCACATTCTCATTCCCACTCAGCTCTTAACAACCACAATCAGCACGCGACCAGCTCAGCTGCACAAAGATGACCTCTGGGACAGGACTGGACACCAGCAGTCGGCAGGATAGGATGGAATTCCCTCCCACAGGAGTCTGAAATTAAGTTTGAGAAAAATATTTATGAACCAGGCCCTTCTATCTAGAATTTTTGTTTTTAAATTTCAGCTGCATGCCATTCATTAAGAGCCAATTAAATCACAGAGGATAATTGTGTCAATTAAGTACTGGCAGGACCGGTGTCCTCCAGTGTGACAGAACGGACTTGTACCGCAGCAGGTCCTGGGGAATCTTGCAGATGTTGGACATGTCTCGTTTCTTGTGCCGCCGCAGGGTGACGGCGCAGAGCACTGACCACCGGCAGCGGCTGGTGTGCCGGGCGTCGAGTCCGGCCCTGCCCCGGCCACTGGAAACCAGCTTCATCATGGCCGTGCTGTGTGAGTCCCTCCTGTCAGTGGCCGCCCGGTCACCCTCCGTCCACAGCTTCCTCCCAGGGGACACACCTTCTCACCCCGACACTTGAAACCTCGCGGCACGGTTTGCTTCACGGCTTTGGCTCCGCAGTTCCCAGCTCTGCTTCTCCTGGTACAGAATTTGGCAGGGGTTCGAGGTCTGTGGACAGATTTTTCAGGTTAAACCAGGGTCAGTCAAACTCTTGCTCTTTCAGTCCACTCCAAAATTTATTGAACTCTCAGCTCCTTAATTATTTAATGGGTAAGCAACATGATCAATATCTCAGTTAAGGAGCTGGTTTTAGCATGATTCTGGGGTGGGTATCAAAATGGTAGCATCAACACTGCTTAACCCTGCTCCTGACACTCACCACCTAACCCTAGAGGTTAGGGTATGAGATGAGGGCTCAAGGTTCGAGTCCGGGTTAGGGTCAAAGCTGAGGTTTGTAGGGCTGGGGTGACAGTTACCGTCCTGTTTTAAGGCTAGATCACGGGTGAAGGCTGGGCTGTGTCTGAGTAACACTGACCTGCACACATCGTCAGCGTCAGGCGGTCACTCTCCCCCTCTCTCAGTCCCCCCCCAGCCCCCGGTGATAGAGGGACTGGACAGCGAGGAGGTGAAGGAGGGGGACACACTCAAGCTGGTCTGCACGTCTGGGGGGGGTAACCCCCTGGCTACTCTGCAGTGGACCAAGGTCAGTACAGAGGGACCCTCCCTCTCCTTCTGCTGTCTGCTCTTCTCACTCTCACTCTCCCTCCCTCTAGTCCAGTTTCTGAGAGAGCCTGTCCTCTCTGGACAGTCTGGTCTGCCTGTGTCCAGTTTCTCTGACCAGGCAGTGGTCACTGAGCCTGTCCTCTCTGGACAGTCAGGTCTACCTGTGTCTTTCAGTTTCTGTGGTCAGTTCATCGGGAGCTGTTTAACTCTTAGGGAAGTGTCTCTCTTCCCCTGAGTCTGTTTAATTCTCCATCTCTCTCTGTCTCATTTTTTTCTGTTTCTCCCTCCATCCCTCTGTTTCTCTCAATTCAAATCTGTCTCACTGGGATGATACGAGTGTTGTCTGACTCAGACTCTTTCCCACTCTCCCCGTCTCTGTCCGTGCTCAGAACGAGGAAGTGCTGTCCTCCAGCTGGGAAGTGGACTCGGTGTCCAGGAGGGCCAGCAGCCCGCTGTCCCTGAAGGTCGGCCCTGAGGACAACTTGGCGCAGCTGACCTGCGAGAGCACCAACCCAGTGACCCCTGTGCCCCTGCGACACACCATCATGCTGCGCGTCGTCTGTGAGGAGCCCGTCCTGCTCTAACTCTCACTGCTGCTCGTACAGGACAGGGCCGTAACAGAGATAATACTGCAGACGTGTCACTGGGCCTGTTTGACCAGGAGTAACAATAATTCCAGACACAGGCCAAGTAGTAAATTAAGGGGCAGGCTTCATTCATGCATCTTGACTCAAGCAAATAGTCTGACATCTTTGAGCTCTGGTATAGAACTCATCTCCTTGGAGTCGACCTCTGAACTTGGAAGCTCCTCCCCCTTGTTCCACCCACAGGGGTCAGGCATAGTGCTCCTGTACATACATATGAGTGACATAACAATAAAAACATACCAAAAACAGCACTTCATCCCACACAACTGACCAACAAAGTATAAAATACTTTCCTTAAAATGATTTAGGCAAATGTTAGGATTTCTGGGTAAATGGGTAGCTACTCGTGTTTTTACTGGATGGGGGAGGAGACTTCCCCTCCAGACCACAGGGGGGTGATGGTGAGGCAGGTCAGTAGCAGGCCGGTAGCAGGCCGCTTCCTGCTTCTCAGACTAGATCTTTGACCCTTTGAGCCTTGAGTGTGGTTTTGGCCTATAGTGTAGGCAGGTGAAACTTAGCTGTGGCCTTAAAAACCCAACCCAACATCTACTTCTTTTTTTAAATCTAATTTCTTTTATTTTGCCTTCCCTGCTGGGGACTGCTGCTGCCGTAAATCCTGTGGGACGTGAAACTGCCGGTTACAGGTACGAGAATTTTATTTCTGTTATTAAATCACTCGTTTTCTTTTATGCGTCGGCCCGCGGGGAAAGGTTACAAGCAGGCAGGCAGTGTGAGGATCCCCATCAGAACACTCTCACTTTCTTCACAGAAGGAATTCTAAACAGGTCTAAAAGCCGTGTGTCTATGTCTCCCCCAGTCCTGCCATCACAAGTGAAGGTGCTGGGCTCCTTCAGCGCCCCCGAGAGGAAGAACATCAGCCTGAGCTGCTACACCAGCTCTTCCAACCCACCTGTCCACATCCGCTGGTGGCTGGGCTCTCGTGAGCTGAACTCCACTGAGGACACCGTCACTGAGGTGAGGCAGATCCACTGAGGACACCGTCACTGAGGTGAGGCAGATCCCCTGGGGTCACCGTCACTGAGGTGAGGCAGATCCCCTGGGGTCTCCGTCACTGAGGTGAGGCAGATCCCCTGGGGTCACCGTCACTGAGGTGAGGCAGATCCCCTGGGGTCACCGTCACTGAGGTGAGGCAGATCCCCTGGGGTCACCGTCACTGATGTGAGGCAGATCCACTGAGGACACCGTCACTGAGGTGAGGCAGATCCACTGGGGTCTCCGTCACTGAGGTGAGGCAGATCCACTGGGGTCTCCGTCACTGAGGTGAGGCAGAGTGGGGGAGCTGCTGCCTGAGGGCAGCAGTATAAGAGCTGAAGGGCATGTAAGATCTCTCAGCTCTCTCACAAGCATGTTTCCAGCACAACAGCCTCTCTCAGCGCAGTGACACCACACCCCCCTGACTCCGCGGGTGTCCTGTGTCCTGAGTCCAGGGCGCACATGGCGGGATGGTGACCATGTCCAACGTGACCTACGCCGTGTCCCGGGAGGAGAACGGGCTGCAGCTCACCTGCGAGGCTTTCAACGAGGCTGTGCGATTTTCCCGGGTCCACTCCGCCCCGCTGCGCGTGTTCTGTGAGTGGCTGACCCCTGGCCGGTGCCTGCCTTCCTGCTACTTGACCTTTGAACCTGTTCTTTTAACCTCCTGACCTCCTTGCCCCATCATCCCTTTGACATCATCGGAAGGTACACAACCCTGACCCCTGACTTTGGGCCTCTGAAACACTACCAGCATGTATATTTTTTAAGTGATTACCTCTGACCTCCGACCTTGAGGTATTTGATTTTAATTTCATCCTGCATGACCTCTGACTTTACCACTGAGCTTGATGACCTTTGACCTCAGGATGGCCCTATACGACACCAACCTCGCTGGTATACTGCTCTACTCTGAAGACCTCAATATGTCTGGAACGTGTTAATTAAAAAAACGTAGCTGCAGTATTTTTAGTTATTAAATACCAGAGGTATCACGTGGCTTTGTCGTGTGTGTCAATACAGGGATGTTATTTCCTCCTTTGTCCTCAGTCTCCCTCCTTCCGTTTCAGACCCCCCCCAGAAGGTGTGGATCGATGCCCCCCCCCAGGGGAAGCGGCTGCGCTCGGGCACCACCGTCCGGCTGATGTGCTACTGCAGTGGAGGCAACCCACTCGCCCGCCTCACCTGGCTCAAGGTCCGCCACTGTTGTCATCGTCGTCATCGTCATCATCATCAGTAGTATAGTGGTCACTGTGGAACAGAGCGTCGCTGTTCCAAGAATTGTTTATTATTAACCTGTGATTGACTATAGCGCCCCCTGCAGACAGGACATGGGGAGATTGAATCTGACTCCACTGGCGACTGGATCAGTGCTGCCAATGTTTGTGGAGACTTTTTTTTCCCCTGTGCATTTCTGAATCCGAAGGCGGAAAATGAGCTTCCTGACGGCCTGTTTGCCAGCTCGCGCCCCCTGGAGCTGTGCGGGCTGCCCCAGGAGGCTCCCTCAGCGAATCCGCGCCCCGGTCTGTCCTTCCAGAACAACAAGCCGGTGCGGGACGTGCCTGCGGCCGTGACGGCGGAGAAGGTGGTGTCCCGGGAGCTGATCCTGCTGCTGGAGCCCAGCGACAACCAGGCCACCTACAGCTGCAACGCCAGCAACGAAGCCAAGGCGCCCCCGCTGGCCGCCGGCACCAAGCTGCACGTGCAGTGTGAGCTGCTCGCCGGGCCCGTTCACACTGACCACCAAGATCAGCCCCCGTTTCATGACCTCTGACCTTAACGCTGACCTTAAACGGCTCACTTTTCAACTCGCACGACATTTTGATACTACAACTGACCTCTGACCTCGGCGTTAACTTGAACTATGTTGGGTGCTGGCTGTGTGTGCCTCTGACCAGCTCTTGCCTTCGCGGTCCAACGGGTGTGCGCCTGTCTGTCCTCAGTCGCGGCTATCAGTGTGAAGATCACCGCGGGGTTGAAGGAGGTGAGGAGGGGCCAGACGTTGACGCTGGTCTGCGTGACGGGCAGCAGCAACCCAGTCACTAACATCTCCTGGGTCATGAATGGGCAGAAGTAAGTCTAAACGTGTCACAGGGGAACAGGGACAAGGTTGGGTTCCTGTCCGATCTGTTGGCCAGTCAATCGCCTGGTATCTTTTTAAATGCCTGCTCTTCCCCAACACTCTCTCTGCTGTTCCTGTCCTGTTTTTCTCTTCTTCTGCCTCCTTTCTCCACCTGTCTCTCCCTCCGCCTCAGGCTGAGGGGGGTCAATCTGGGTCAGAAGCGATCCGAGTACGGGGGCGTGTCAGTGAAGAGCCAGCTGTCTGTCAACGTGTCGTCCTTCCACAACACGAAACGGGTGACCTGCCAGGCCTACACCCAGGTGCTGTCTGAGGGTGTCAACACGTTCTACAGGTTCAATGTGCTCTGTGAGTCCATCTGTCTGCTGTCTGTGAAGCCATCCCTCCACCCTTCCTCTATCAATCCATCCACTCATCCCTCCACCCAGCCTCTATCAGTCCATTCACCCATCCTTCCACCCAATCATCCATCCCTCCACCCAGCCTCTATCAGTCCATTCACCCATCC